AAAAGGATATTGTTAAATAATAGCTATTACTGAATTGCAGGACACAATTAACACTAATTTGTTAGCCTTCCCTGACACAGAAACTCAACAGGACAGGCAGCTGGAATACAGGAGAGAAACCTATGTATCAGTTTTAATCTAATTGGGAGACAGTTTGCTGGCAGGAAGAAGGAAGAACTAGCATCACACAAAAATAGCCATCAGAAAAGTCTGTTAAAGGGAGGTTACTACATGTGATAATTACTGTTTCAGACAAAACTGGTAAACAGTTATGCTTAATGAGATAAAGATATGGGGGAAGTGCTACAGTTGCATTAAGAAAATGCAAATGAACTTGGACAGCAGAGTAGTAAGTGAAGCTAAGAGAGAAAGAAGAATTTGAGAAGACAGGATGTTAAAGAAATTTTCAAAAAGAAAACAGTTAAGTAAAAGAAGTTTTTTCTAAGCTATTATGAGCTTTTCTTTCTACCTCAGTTTCAGAAATACCCAACCATCTTTCTGTTATTGCTTTTCTTCCTCCCCTGACAAACAAGTAGCCATAAGTTGTCATCATTTCCCCCATCCACAGTGCACAGTTTAATGGTAGCTGAACTCAGCTGTTTCTTATCTCAGCTTTAGGCCTTTCCTAAACCCTAAAGCTTCCCCTTTTCTTTTTATTGTACGTATTGTACAGCAGCATGCTAAACCATTTCCTTACCATGACCATTGCCTGTTTTAGTTGTGTCAGGATAAGTAATACAACATCCAAGTGATGTCAGTCTAAAGCTGCTGTTAACAGGAGCCCCTGCTTCTCAAGGGGTCACAACCCCAGCACAATTCATATAGAAAGTGGAAGTTCGGAAGGTAGAAAGTTCCCTGGACAGCAGCACCAACACAGCTCTTTAGACTAATTTTTTAAGAAGTTTTAATATAAACATTGAGAAAGTTATGTACAGAGTACTAATCAGATTATAAGACTTCTATTCCGCTGTGTGTGGGGTGCCATGTGAACCTTTAACAACTCAGGAGGCAGAAGACTTTAGCCAGACCTATTATACATTTTCTCTCTTTTTCTCTTTACTACATAATAAACTAGTGAACTCCAGCGAGGATAAGAGTCCTGACCCACCTCCCAGTTAATTCAAAGATGTATACATTTATTTCAGTGCTGAATATACCCTATTCTTTTTGTCACTAATAGTATCTACTTATAAAACAATCAATTTAAACACCTTTCATCCAGCACAGAAAGAAATTCCTCTACAATATTCTGTGAAACTTTAGCACATCTTAAAACCAAGATAAAAGTCTACCATGGAAGTAATAACTGTCTTCACAGGATTGTTTGTGTTCTTAGGGATTTTCTTTTTACTGTTACCCATCTGCTAACCTTCAAAAGCTACTAATTGTAAAAACACAGAGATAGCAATAGCCAAGCATTTAATGCTACTTAAAAATAAATAGAAATACTCACACACTGGATAACCCACAAAGCTTGTGCTCCAGAAGCCCACATGAGAGAAGCATGCCTATCTATATACCCAGCTAGGTTTCTAGCTAGTGCCCTCCCAGCAATAGAAAGAAGAAAAGGAAAGGGAAAGGAAAGGGAAAGGAAAGAAAAAAAGAAAAGAAATCACTTACTGGCCTTTATATAGCTTAAGTGCAAGTGGGAGGAAGCACTACTGGAAGCAAAGGTTCCTGGGAAGGTGATTAATTAATTTTTAAGGGTAATTGGTTTCAGGTTTTATGTGTGAGTGATTGACAGGAGAAAGGAGCTGCCCAGTAAAAGCCAGGCCCTATCAGAAGGACCACCAGCACTGCTGAGGCTGCTCAAGCTCTGAGTATGCTCCATCTCTTCCGGAGTTTTGTTCTGTGGGCAGATTCCCGCAGCTCAATAAGAATTTGTCCTCAGTTCTGGTGCTGCTTTCTGGGCAGTGCAGCATATGCTGTCGTGGGAGAGGTCTGTTAGGGGCTGACAGATGTGCCTAGAGTTTAGACTGATTCTTCAGAAGTTCTAAGCCTTAAGCTGGCATCAGCAGCTCCATGAAAGGTGGGGAAGAAACTTGAATGGAGATGTAACATTACTAGGATGGCCACAGAAGGGTTCCACTGCTGCTGCTGTGCATCATCCTTGCTCTTAATGCTTGTACCTGGGCTGAGGGACCAGTAGAAATGGCATCTTCCATCTGTGGCCTGAAGAAACTGAGAGCATTTTCCTTCCAGCAAATTCAAAGAGGTTGTTTTAGGTGGAGACAACATGTGATAAGGCAAAGGCAGGGCCCTGCAGTTCCACCTGAGGAATTAAGGCTGTGGGTATTCAGGGAAAGGTGGAGACTCACAGCCTTGTTATCTCTATTCCCCCTCCCTCTGCATTTTACCTGTACAGGGTGTAAACTCATCAGGACTGGGAGGGGCTGTTTGGTACCAAGGTGTAGTGCTGGTCTAATGATGCTTTCCCCTCAGGCTGCACTTAAACACTCCCTGCAGAAAACAGTGGCAGCTCTTAAAGGCGGTGCCATCCCCAGCTGGAGGGAGGTGTCCAGCCCAGGGCAGGATCAGGGGTGAGCCCAGCTCAGCAGCTCCCGAGCTCAGCAGAACCCAGACCTGAAGCTTCACTGGGCTGAGCTGGCTGACTGTGTATTTAAAACAGGTGTGAGGTAGTCAGGAGTTCTGTTTGCTGGCTCGAGTGTAAGGCAGTGTTTGAGGGTGGTGAGGGGCAGGGGATTAGGGTTGGGTTAATATTTTAAGATGTGAATGAACTTCTGAGGAAGAGGATGTACTGAAGGCCATAGATATTTAATTTGTTCAGCCATCTTTTGGTGATATCTCGTTAGCTGGAACAGAAAGAAATGGTGAAGTCCAAATCTGCTTTATTCATGTGCTCTAGGCTACAAATTCACTGTGAAGCATCACATGGAGGCTCAGTAGTGCTCCTTGCTGTTGTCAGCATGGATAGAGTGGCACCCTGTGAACTGCAATGTTTTCTTGTGCAGATATGGCTGGAGTGATCCGCAAAGGCAGTGAACTTAAATACCCTGTGTGTTGCAGCAAGAGCCAGGAGGGTATCAAAGAAGTCCTGAGGGTGATACCTGGGCACAGAGGGGTGCTGTATTCACCTGCAGTGTAAATACAGTGGTAAATTTGCAGCCTTTTTACAAGTGAGAAAGCCAAGACACAAGACGAGATTAGGAGTGGTCAGTGGACAGCCCCAGATGGAGTTGTGACTGTAGACAGAGATGCAGTAAATCACCACAGGGGATGTTAGTGGGAGAGCTGGGGAGGTCAAACCACAACTCTTGCTGTCATGCACCTTTGCACCCCCAGATGTTTAGTGCAGCCTTTGCATCTGCAGTAAATAGCTGTCTTCAAATAATCATATTTTCCCACTGATCCTGTGTCCCATTCAGTGCTCAAGGACTGCCTCACCACTTAAATAATTCTGTTTTCAAGGAAGATGGTTTTGGTAGGATGCATTAAGAAAAGCCCTTGGACTCTCTGTAGAAGATAAGACAATTTGAAATCAAAAGTTGGCTTTGTTACAGAAGGAACTGATGCTTGAGGGGAAAAAATGGGTTTTTTTCTTGGCTGCAGTTTTTCAAGTTAGGAAACTTTTAAACCAAACTTAAATATAGATTATTAACTTTCTGATGCTGAACCCTAGAAAACATTAAATGTGACTTTCTAAATTTCTGAGGAATTATGAATTCAGAGGAAAATTATGCTTGCTATCTCTCAAGGAAAGGTAAAATAGATCTAGAAGTGTACAGGACATATTTTAGGAAGAACTAGCTCAATATCAATTCTGCTTAAGAGTTGTGACAGTGACAAGTCATTTTACCTTTCTCAATTTTCCTTCCTGCAAAGTGGAAATAACCATTTCAAAATGTGGCATTTATCTGTATGGAGAAGGTGCATTCACTGCCAATACAGGCTGTGCTGATTTCAACCTGGAAGTCAGAAAAAGCTCTCAGTAAAGATCTTGATTTTGCAACTGCCCAATGTGTATACTTTCGGGGAAGTGGGACTGAAAATATTTGGGGAAAAAAACCCCTCCCCCTTTATTTAGCAAGCTGTAGGATTTAAAGGATACTGTTAATACAGCCTTTTCAGGTGATTTCATATCCACTGAAGCAGGGTCTATAGCCACAGGAGCCATTTGTTGGAGGCATAAACAGCACCATCAATGTTTTTTTCAATTATAGCAAGAGATGGAAGATGTAGAGATTTTTGAAATCATGGAAATAGCTTTTCTTGATGCTTGGAGGGATAGAGGACTGAGACTTATTTCCCCCAGCTTCCCATTCCCGTGCCTTTGTGCCAAGGTTCCTCTTTCAGGTGTGCTCAGGTGGTTAACGTGTTTGATGTGCAGCTCGGGTGAGAGGATGATCCCAGCAGGTCATTCCCAGCATCAGGGTCGGCTTTCCTTTGGTGGAATGGCTGGACTTTTTTACTTGACCAGGAAATCTTGGTGGGTGAATTATCAGTCACTGTGTTTACTGCCAGAGCTGCACTGGGGCCACGTAGGAGTGCAAGGGGGGAGTTTGTCCATTTCCCAAGGGGAGTTCTCCTTCCCTGGGGCTCAGTCTAGAGCTGTTTTTCTTTATTTTTCTGTGGACTTCTCTAGCCTGAAGGTGTCAGCTCTGTTTTGTTGTTGCCCATGGGCATGTGGCTCTGAGTGTTGCTCCTGAGCTCCAAAAGGATAATTCCTCTGATCTTTTTAGAGGCTTCCTTATGACACTTTCTTTGGAAGATGCATCAGTTCATACTATCCCTAATTCTTCCGATCCTGTGAATTTTGGTGCTTTGAATTTTCCATTCAAGTATTCCATATATTTATCAAGGAAATAGGGAAGGTGTTGCTTTGAAAAAGGAATTAATGTATTGGTTTGACACCTGCAAAGGCTTCGGAGAAAGGAAGAAGTCCTGCTAAAGTGTGACAGAGCACAGACTGTTTAAAAGTTAACATCTAAGCTATTTTCAGGCCCTGCTCCACAGCATCATGACTTTGTGTTCTGTTGCAGACAGAGGCTCCAAGATGACTTGTCCACAAACAGAGCATTTAGTGCTCTTCCAGTTTACAGCACTTTGCAGAGAAACCAGGAGAGAAGGAAGCAGCAAAGAAGAAATGGATAAATGAATGGAGGCCGAAGGTGGAAAACACTTATTCAGCGACTTGTGGGTCTCATGTACACTGATCCACCTGAATATTTTGACCTTCCTAAAGCACCTCTGTGGTAACAGAAGCTGCTCCAAGCTGAATAAGTGAAAGAGAGAAGAGCTGAGATGTGGAGTTACTGGGGAGTGATGCTGCCCTGACAATTCACCAACACTTTCCCTTGAGCTGTGTTCTCCTGATCTAGCTCAGGAGTGTTGTGTGGAGCAAAGCAAAGGTCCTGCCCTTCTCACTTGGCATCTGGGAACTGACAGCTGACCATGGGAATTTACACCTACATGTCAATATTACTACATCTTACTGATATTTTCAGTAAGAACTGTAAAATGGTTCAGCATTGAACAATAGCCTTTAGTGAATTCTAATCTGTACTAAAATGTGATTCTGGTGTCAGCGCTTTGATACGAATTTTTGGAACAAATTAAAAATACTCGACTCTTAATATTTTGTTATTCTGCGATGAATTCACAGGTTCAGTCTATCAGAATCATGTAAATTGGCTTCTTTTGGCATATTTTACATTTTGTTGCACACTAATGTAATCTACTTAATTGTAGAATTCAGTAATATCTCAAATTACTACTTGGTTAAACAAGAGGGAATCTGATACAAGAATTTTGATATGATTAATACTTATTTAGTAATTCTTGTAACTTCTTTGTATGCCCTTTATGAATAACTGCCCTGTTCTTAAACTTTTGCTCCTTCTGCACGATTGCAGTACTCATCTGTTGGTTGTAGCATTACCCTGGAATGTGGATGAAGATCTCATTTAGCTCAAATGCACTGTGGCTGCTCCTGCAGCTTCTCGGGAACACACCTCCATGTATCCCTGGCCTGCTGCCATGGGATGCCAGGCACCTGTAGGTTCAGGTATAAATGTTACATCTTGGAACTTATTCTAATACTGTGAGCAAACTTGTGCATGATGAATTGATTTCTTTTTTGTTTGTTTGTTTTCTGCTATAATTACCTTCTCTTGTACCAGAAGTTATTTGTTCCACTGAAATACATGGGAATGTGCGAAGTTGGCACTCTTGATTTATTGCTTTTGCCTCATAATCTATTTTGCAAAAAATGCACTGTTCAAATTTGCTTTTAGTGCTAGATGAGAGATCATTAACTCGCTCTCTTGAGGGCAGGCGTCCTAGTAAAGGCAGGCAGAAGTTCAGGAAAGCTACACCTCCAGATAACATGAAGGAAAAACTCTTGATATGCAAACATGGCATTACTACAGCCTGACCACGGGCTCCATGGAAAGAACAACAGACTGATAGCACAGGGCTGCATGGCCTCCTTGGGAGATACAGCCCAGGCTCTCAGCTGAAGCCTGTATGAGTCTCTGAGCTCACTGCTCGGTTATCCTGTTTGCTGGCATTCAGCAGTATCCAATAAAGTCTTCTAGGTCTGAAGTGTTCTGTCTATAAAAGCTTCTGAGGGACTAAAGTGATGTCAAATTCCCACTGAGTCCATGGCCTTGTTTGCAGTAGGGAAAAATGGATGGATGGATGGATGGATGGATATCTTTGCTGAACTCCTAATATGCTGACCTGGGGGGAGAAGGTGCTGTAGATGGCAGACCTGGTCCTGGCTCTCCAATACCCTGGAGGGCTGGGACTTCAATGTCCTGGTGCCTGGCTCCTGGGATACCCTTGCCAGCCTCAACTCTCACCAAATCATAGAATGGCTCAAGATGGAAAGGACCACAGCAGGTCATCTGGTCCCACCTCCCTGCTCCAGCAGGGTCATTCCAGAGTACATGGCACAGGATTGTGTCCAGCCAGTTCTGGGATATCTCCAGTGAGGGAGACTCCATAGCCTCTCCGGTTGTTCCAGCACTGTTCCAGTGCTCGGTCACTGCACGGTAAAGAACTTCTCCCTCATGTTCAGGTGGAACTTCGCTGTGCGGCAGTTTCTGCTTGTTGCTTCCTGTCCTGTCTCTGGGCATCACCGAACCGAGCCTGGTCCACGGTCTTGGCACCTCCTTTCAGACACTCACACACATTAATGCGCTCCCGGAGCGGTGCCCTAAGCAGGGTGTGGGCGAGCCCGACGTGGGTGTTCAGCCGTTTCTCCCACCCAGGGGAGACACCCCGGAGGGGCTGTGCCCGAATTCCCGCAGAGGCACCGGAGGCACGGAGGGGGTACCCCGCCAGTGTCACGTCACCGCGGGGTTGCTTCCCGGGGGCGCGCGGGCGGCAGGTGAGGGCCACGCTCGCCCGGCCAGGGCCGGGCAGGGGGGCGGCGGGACGAGTCCCCGGAGGGGGGGGGGCGGGTCCCCGGTGTCCCCGCGGCGGCCGCGGACTCTTTGCGGCGGCGGCCGCTCGCCCCGCGCTCCCGGCGGAGGAAGACGGCGCGCGGCGCCGGTCTCCATGGCAGTGGGGCTGCGTGGGCGGAGTGGTCGGGGCCGCAGCGCGGCGGGCGCGCGCGGGAGGGAGGAGGCGGGTGGGCAGGGAGGAGGGAGCGCGCGCCCCCGGCCGCCCCCGCCCCTCGCTCCTGTTTGTGTCGGGCTGTGGCGGCGGCCGAGGGGCCCCGACCCTGCCGAGCCCCGCAGCCCCGCGCCCGTCCCCGCCCCGCGCCCGCCATGCGCGGTCCCTAGAGCGGCGGGCTCGGCGGCTGGTGCGGTGCCTGCGCGGCGGCGGCCATGGCGGTGGAGACGCGGCCGGAGCTGGTGGGGAAGCGGTTCCTGTGCCTGGGCGGCGAGGAGCCGCCGGAGAGCGGGCGCTGGCGGGCCGGGGTCATCCGCGCCGTATCCCAGCGGGACTCGCACAGCCCCGAGCTGGCGGTAAGAGCCGGGCCGGGGGGGCGGCGGGCCCGGCGCGGCACAGCCCCGGGCGCGCTGCGGGGCCGGGGGTCGCGGCGGCGGCGCCGGGCGGGCTCCCCGCGGGACTGCGGCCCCTCCGCCCCCGAGCCCCGGCCAGGCATCCGCGGGGGGCCGGGGCCGGGACCGGGGCCGGCGGGGCAGCCCCCGGGGCGGCGGGGGGAATGCGGCTGGTCCGGGGCACTGCAGGAGCTGCCGCCGCGTAGCGCGGACCGAGCGGGTCCGGCGCGCTGGTGAACGTTGTTATTAAAAGAATGTCATTGTTTCCCTCGCTTTCATGTCCGCTGTCACTGTTTTCCTAAGGGGTGTAGGAATGTGCGTGGAGGTTAGCGAAGGAGCCAGGATATGCTCTGTTGTGCTCAGACACAGCCTCGCTGTAGGAGGGAAACACGGCCAGGATTTCCTTGGGTTGGCGTTCTGAATGCATAATCTGGAAAATGGAGTTTTATTGTGCTCCCCGGACTTGGTCGGTATTTTGTTCGTGAATTCCGCAGTCACAGGAGTGCCGTGTTGCTGCTGTGCTTGTCTCCTTCCATATTTTTGTGTTATTTAGTGCTTCTGAAAGCACATTTAAAAATACCATGACTATGTAAATGGGCATTACGTAGGCTGAAAAAAGGAATCACCGGACTGCGCTGGGCAATCCATATTGCTGCTGGCAAAGGGGCGGCGTTCACAGCCCGACAAGGATCGGGGTGGAATGTTGCCTTTTTTTACCAACTCATCAAGCAAACAATTGCCTGGTTGTGGAGATTATCGATTGCTTAGTTCGAGAAGTGTGAATCACAAAATTAAGAATTCCTGGTTTTATTCGTCTCAGGCTTTAAGCTTTGTTTTAGAAACAGAATGTGGCACTTGAGATGCTACTTTTTTACTATTAGCGAGGGTTAGGGTTTTGGTGGGGGTTTTTTGTATGTTGTTTTTGTTGTTTTTTTTCTCCCCATTCTCGAGCTATAATTCAAGTAGCATCCTGTTCATGCCCTTCTTTATGGCATGGTTTATGTTTCCAACCTTTGGCTATATGTGAGAATCATCTAGAATGCTTTATTTTTAGAACGTATTTTGGATGTTACTCTTGCAGGGTAGTATTCTCTAGTATCTGTATACAAGTATGGAAACACTGAGTAAGGTCTAAGGAGGTATTTACTAACACTTACAAGCCAGAGCCATAATTTGTAAACTCTAAGGGCAGAGCTGACATAAAGAGAGAGGGTGCTAAATGGAGGTATTCAGGGGCTGTATCTGGTATGTTTAATGGGTGGTATACGGAACTTGCTGTTCTTCCTAACTTTGGTATCTGAGTGTTTATCTCTTCAGATGCTCTTTCCTTACAATTTTTGGTAATTTAAGGAAGAACTGTCATGTCACAGCTGGTTTCTGAGGCAGGATGACTAAGGGTGTGCTTACGTGTCGTGGTGGAGCGCCATTTGGATAGATCCAAACGACCTGAGAAGCAGGATGGATGCTCCAGCTGCACTCCAGCCTGGGTGCAGTGCAGTGCTACCATGGTCATGTTCCTGCTGGTATTCAGGCTGGCTACACAGCGCTGCATTATGCTGTGGAGATGTACTCTTAGGAGTGCTGGAAGCCTGGGAAGGTTTGGAAATACTATCTAGGTCTAAGTCCCAGACTAGTATTTAACTACTGGAGCGTCATTGCCCCCTTTAAGGTGGAGTATTTGGTTTTCATGTCACCTGTTCTCTGTCCCCAAGGCACAAACCAGTATAAATCACAAAGGGAGTGGGTAGAGTCAAAAATGATAAGGTTTCTTTTAGCAACAGGTAGTTTCTGTGTGTTAGTCTCTCATTGTCCATTTGTAATTATCTTCTTGCTAGTTGATATTTGCTACAATGAGTATCCTTCCCCTGCCCCCAGCAAAGCACAAGGACTCTTTTCTGGTAGTCCTGTTCCACGTGTGCTGTCCTAGCTGGGGTGAGTGCTGCTCTTATCCTCCCATGGCTTTTGTTTTGAGGTGGCCATCTCTGTGAAAAGCTCCAGACCCTTCTGCTCCCTGTCACTGGAGTGGAACGGTAATTCCTGCTGACAGTTTCATTGCTGCCCACGGGGTGCAGCATAAAAATGTGGGAATTGACTTTTTGTCAATTTTGTGTCTTCCTGCTCCCCCTGAATGGGATGGATGGTGGAGAAATACAGGAGCTGCCCTGAACCACAGCACAAGAGGAGGGCAGCAGGCAGCATTTTCAGTGTCATTTGCAGCTGGCTGGAACTGAGTTACCTTTTAATCCTGGCTTTGGAAGGAAGTATACTTTACAGTGGCTTTGTATCTTTTCTTAATAAGTGTGAAGCCCCCCCCCCCCCAGTCAACTTCAACCACTTCAAGAACAGGGAGAGGTTTGAGAAAGGCTACCTTCTCCTGCTCTGTGGAAGTTGTCATCCGAGAGCCCTCTTCTCAAAAAACCATGAAGACGAGGAGGTCATGGCATTTGGTGCACTCCTAGAGGTGCAGAAGGATCTCCAGCTGGGTGCACCCAGCTTCAACCCAGTCACAGCTGGTGCTGCCTCCTGCTTGGCACCACTCAGGGAGGGGAGGGGATGGAGCTGATGGGATGTGAAGGCGGGTTTGAGGGCACGACAAAGAGCTGGGTGTTAACAAAGGTGTGAGAGCAAGCCTGAGTGTGGGAATAGGGGAACAGATGGGCAAATGGGGAGTTTTACAGGGTGCAGGAGCTCGAGGAGACACAGCAAGCTTAGAGGCAATGGTTGTAATTAAGGTTAAGTGGCCACAGGGCTTGCAGGAGCAAATCCACAGGAAACCAACCTTCATTAGTCCTGCTGGAAACAGAGCTACTCCTTAAATCAGGAACTCCAGGCCTGAAGGATGGACTGGCTGCTCTCAGCCTGGGAGCAGGGAAATCAAGAGTCCAGTTTTCAATTGCTGCTAAATTTGTTTCGTGATTGTATTTTCATAGCTAAATTAATGATTATTATCATAGCTGAAATTATTGTCCTGGTAAGAAAAGGTAGAAAAGTACTCAGTTGTCTAGATAGATCTCTCCTACTACATGAAAGTATATTAAATGAGTCTTTCCTTATACTTTCCATGATTGCAGCATGGAGGATACGTAGTCTCTTTTTTGTGTGGTTCCCCCCCCCAAATGCATTTATTTATTTATTTATTTTATGGAAATTTTGCCTTTCTCAGCTTTCCTAATAATTTACCACTAGTGGGGAGTATGGTGAGAACAACTGGCAGTGGTTGAGAGTGCTGTTGGTCTCCTGGAAGAACAATGCTCTCGCCATGCCATGCACATCCTCTATGCCAGGATTTACCTCTTTCTTAGTTATCCTGTAAGGTTTGCAGATGTTGTAAACACCTGATACACAGGTACAATATGTGTAATGTATAACATTTAATCCAGGAGTTTTCTTGCTGATTTCCACATTCTTAGTCACAACTTTATAGTTAGACCTCTTGATTCTTCTTTCTTGGACATTCCTGATGCATGCAAAGCATTTATTTAAAATAAAAATAACAAGGACTAAAGTTTCATATACTTAGGTGTTCATGTGTATATATGTGTATGTGTTTCACTAGCTGTTGAGAGAATTCATAACTATTTTTCAGCTTAA